GGATTCCTAATCCTATTCTTGCCCACTAGTGAACCAAACAACCCCTGATATAATGAAAACTCATCTCATCTCATCTCTTTTCTTAGTTTTAAAAATGAACCAAACACAAGAAAATAACCTATTATAGATTTCGTATAATTGATTTCCTTAATTTTTTTTAGCCAACCAAACAATCTCAGAACAAGTCTCGAAATTTGTTTCTTAAAAATCACATGCATCATCCAATAATATGGTGACAACTCATCTCATCTCATCTTCTTTCTTACTTTTAAGAATGAACCAAACACAAGAAAAATAACCTATTATAGGAAATATGTTTCTTTTTCTTTGATTTCCTTGTTTTTTTAACCAAACAAACAGTGTAAATTGGATTAAAAATAATTAAAGGGTAAATTTAGAAACATAATAATTTGAGGGGCAAATTTGGAAGTTCCTATGATTTGAGGTCGATATCATACTCTCTTTAAAAAAGGGAGTTGTGGAAAAACTTTTTATGGACTATATTGCCCCTATTCTTTTTTGTTATTATATTCTAATCATAAATTAACTAAATTAATTATCATTATTAATTAATCATATTACATGCCACTTCAATTTTGTCTAACTTGGCTCTAAAACTTCCAATGTTATTGTAAAACTTTCATATTAATTATTAATAATGCATAATATTATATTGATAGACAATTGCAAGTTAATAAATTATTTTGGGATGAGTACAAAATATAGAATTGTCCTAAAATTATATCGTGGCACTCACATAGGAAAATTATAAAGAGTATAAAATATAGAATTGTCCTAAAATTATATCGTGGCACTCACATAGGAAAATTATAAAGAGTATTCTTACGTACATAAGTACAAACATCCAATTTTAGAAAATATTAGAAGATCTAAGTGCACTAAGATATAAGTGGAGGTATATGCGTGTAACTTTCGTAAGTTGTAAGCTATTTATGTTTAATTAAGACTATAAAGATTTGAAGCCTTTGTTAAACACAAACAATAGTATGTGATTCTTTTGATAAATAATATACATCGTATAATATGAGGCCAGAGGTTTAGCTTATATTTATATAGTACAGAAGATGTGGAAAATTTTAAGCATCATATTTTGAATAAGTTTCAAGATTTTGAATTATAAATAAAATTATATACTTCGCTTAGAATCATACTCCCTTTAAAAGAGGAAGTTGTGGAAAAAACTTTCTATGGACTATATTACCCCTATTTTTTAAATATTATATTTTAATCCTAACTAAACTAAATTAATTAATATTGTTAATTAATCATATTATATGTCACTTCAAGTTTGTCTAACTTGGTCCCTAAAACTTCTAATGTGATTGTGAAACTCTCATATTAATTATTAGTAATGCCTAATAATATATTAATAGACAATTGCATGTTAATAAATTATTAATGGAAAGAGTAGAAAATATAGAATTATCCTAAACTTATATCATTATATTCATATAGGAAAATAACAAATAGTATTCTTGCGTATAAAAGGTACAGACATGCAATTTTAAAAACATTAGGATATTTAAGTGCAACAAGATACAAATGGAGGTATGTAATTGAAACTTTTATAAGCTGTAAGGTATGTAATTTAATTAAGCCAATAAAGATTTAAAGCCTTTGTTAACCACAAGCAATAGTATGTGATCCCTTTGATAAATAATATTCATTATTTAATATGAGGCCAAAGGGTTAGCTTATATTTATATACTAGAGGAAATATGGGAAAATTAAAGCATCATATTTTGAATAATCTTAAGATTTTGAATTATTTCTGAATTTATATACTTTGCTTAGAAAACTTTAGAAGAGACTTTCGGAGGACTACTATAAAGTGTTGGGCATCATATAAATGCTGGACAAATAAAATCCATGATATTGGGTTGCAATAATCGGGGTTATGTAAATAATATCTGGGTGTCATATGAGATAATGCTCATACATAATACAACATTTTAGTCTATAATCTCAGATATTGATGAATATTCAACATAAGAATTTGTGTTAATATATGTGCTTGAGATTTGAGAAAGCTGAAAGTAGAGAGATTGGGATATGAATTGTGACTTTTGTGACTTGTGCTTTAGTTTTGGTTTCCAAACACAACATAATACCAAGCTTACAATCAAATTAAAAATGACTCGATTTTGTTATACCAGCCAATATTTTCGATAATGATCGATATATGAGAAAAAATATCCAAATAAAAGAAAATAATATAAACCCATAAATATTATTAAGATAAAGTATTTAACCTTTTCTATCAGTCGATAGAGCGATATATCGGCCAATGTTTCATATATTGCCTATAAGAGCAATATTTAAAGGTAATTTAGATATCATTTCATTGATTTTAAATCTCTAACAATTCTACATTATTCCCTTAAAATTTTGAAATTGCTTAAAATTTAGGTAATAATATAGAATTATAAAATATTTGAGCTAAATTTAAAAGAATAGTTAATTCTTTGAAAACTCTCTCAAGTATGGGGAATGTCTCAAAAAACCACTTAACTAATTTAATTTGACAGAGCCTCCTAACTATAGAGGTGTTGTAGATAAACATTCTCAACTTTGGTGCGATTTAGAAAACACTCTTCGACTTAGCGTGTCTTATAAAAACACTCCTGGTCTTTTACACATCTCTTACCAAATCCCCTTAATGTAAAAGACTTTAATAAGTGATTTTGTCAAAATGCCCTATTAAAGAAATCCATTTTTAAAAGACTTTAATAAGTGATTTTGTCAAAATGCCCTATTAAAGAAATCCATTTTAGTTAAAAGAAACTCTCAACCGATAATAAAAGGATTACAACTAATTTATAATTCTTTTTACCTCTAAATCTTCACTTTTTCTTTCATCTAGCAAAAAACCAAGCTAATTCTTTTATGGTTGAGGGATATTTTGGTCTTTTCAACTCAAGTACTTATCACATAATGAATTCCGCTTAATGTTATTAGTTTTGAGGGGTTAATTAAGAAAAGTTTATAAGGTTAAATCAAAATTTTGAAGTTGAGATAGATCAACTATAACACCCCAAATTTGATAAACAAGCATTTACTCATTTTAAGTAGTTGAGGGGGGGGGGGGGGGGGATTTAACATTTCTGAGGGGAAGTTTTCTAAAAATAACCCTCAAACAAAGCATAATTTAAGACACATGTGACATCAATCTTATAAGAGTGGATTTTATAGCAAGTCTATCAGTATCTCTGAAAATTTTTTGCTACAAAATTCACAAAGAGATATTTAATCATTGTTTGGGATGACTATGTGATCCTTATGGTTCTCCTTATCTTTTATGATTTGTAATAAATTATTTAACAAAATGATCCTTATGGTTCTCCTTATCTTTTATGATTTGTAATAAATTATTTAACAAAATAAATTAAGTTATTTATTTTATATGTCTCACATTTATGAAGCATACAGTTTGGATATGAGTGTTATTAGATTCTTTTAACTCTTTAGCTTAAATTTTTGGATATTATTTAATATTGGATAGATCTATATAGCTTAAATTTTTGGATATTATTTAATATTAGATAGATCTATATTATTTTGTTAAAATACAATCCATGTGTACAAAATATGTTTAAATCATTCTCAATTTATATTTTATAATTTTCTAAAATTAGAGAGTAATCTTTTTGACAAATTAATTAATTAGTTGAGAAGATGTAGGAAGGTTATAATATCCGATTTTGGAATTGATCACATAATTTATATTTTCTTTTTTGATTGAATTTGCACATTCTAACTTTGAAAATTCTATAAAAAAGTTTTTGAATATCTATAATACTCGGTCACCAGATAATAGAAAGTGGAAGTAGACAATAGACGCAAGTGATTTCTTTATAATTAAACAAAATCCTCTATGACCAGATAAACCTATCATTTTACGTTGATGAATTCAAGATATATATTTTTTAATAATAATAGTTTTTTAGATATTGGTGCTTACATCATTAATTTTTTAAAATTAAAATTCAAAATCATTAAATTGCTCTTAGATCATTCATATTTTAAGATTTTAAACCTCACTAATTATGTGGAAGGTAAAATGTTGAAACCAACAAGATTTTATATATTGAAATATCTGAAACTTTTTAATATATTATGATAATAATAAACTTTTTGTAACTATGTTATAGTAAATACATAAACTAAAAATTAATAATTATAATATTTGACCACGTGCATTGCACGTACATTCCACCTAGTATCGAAAAAAACCTTTTAAAAAACTATAAGTTAAAAATTAGCAAATATTTCACCTATAAAAACTTTAAATTGGATGCTTGTCTTGCTCCAGTGTCCTCTCTTTCTTCTGTATACTCCTCTTCGTACTCCTTTCTCATCTCCCGATTCCCAACAAGAAGAAAATTTCCATAAAACCCCCTGAAATCGACTCCCCTTCGCTTTCACCACCGCCACCATCTCCTCCGCCCCCGAGCCAGATGGAAAACGAAGAAGAACCACCCTCACAAAATTACACCCAGACCCCCAGAGACCCTCCCACTCTCCGAAAACCCCCTCAAAAAACCAAAAAGAAGCCCCTCTCCAAGAAAAAGCTCGCCATCATCGAGCAAAAGCTCTCCCTCCTCTCTCAAAACCTCCGCCCTTGCCCCTTCGTCCCCAACCTCCAAACCCTAGAATCCCACGAACCCCTTTTCCGCTCCCTCAACCTCTGGAAGTTCCTCAATCTTCGTCTCGACTCCGAGATCCGCACCGACCTCCTATCCGAGCTCATCGCCCACTACAACCCCATAAAGCACAGCTCTTTCGTCGGCGGCCTTCGCATCAGTCTCTCTCGCGCCGACCTCAGCCGAGCCCTCTCGCTTCCCTCTTCGAAAACCAACCAGAAATCGATTAGTGAGCTCGATTTTGAGCAATTTGGAGGCGCTGAGGAGGTTTCGTCGGTTCTTTTGGGGTTTATTGCGAACTGGATGGTGTTCTTGGACGA